TTCCAAAAAAGAAGCAATTTGATTTCATTTACCTATTAATTCTTAATCAACAAATTATAATAATATATACTCAGCCTAAACAAGGCACTGTTGTTTGAAAAAAAAATAAAGAAAAATAACATACGAAAAGATTATTATTATTAATATTATTAATATCGTCTGTTATTATTATTATTGTTGTTGTTGTTGTTGTTATTGTTTCTTATGACTACTACTACTATTATTGCTGTTGTTATATTATAATTAAGTTTCAAATATCATGGCGGTTAACTGATTTGAAAATGTTACAATGCTAAAGAACTATGAATGAAATCTGTCCACATACACACACACACACACACACGCACACATACACACACACACACACACACACACACACACATATATATATATATATATATATATATATATATATATATATATTAATTGATCAATCAATCAATCACTTTACAGATTTTGAAACAAATTCCGTCCCATCACTGAATTTAATAAGGTGGTCAAATGATCTTGATCTAGGCAGTTCTTCCTCTTGTTGCTGCTGTTGTTGTTGTTGTTGTTGTGAGAAACTCTGCTGTGAGTGTGAGTCAACTGCACCATGCATATTCATAACATCTGACCTAACTAGCCTGCTATTTAATGCCTTTAGAGCCATCTGTCTAGAAGAAAAATTAAAAAAAAATGAATAGTTAAATAATTTTATTTAAAATATTTTAATTTATATTATTATTTAACTATGTTTTCATAAAATGAACATTATTATTGTCGTAATTCAAAGAACTTTTTGACAAATTAGCATCACTGAAATCAAGCAAAACAAACTTCTGTCTGAATGCATCATTAGGTTCGGTACCGGGCAAATTAAGGACAACCGTATTGGTATTGGACCCTGTGACCAAAACGTGCGGTGAAGTTGGCGAAGATGGTGCTGATGTAAAAATAGAAGTCGATGATGGGTTTTTTTTGCATAGCTTGAGAGTAACCAAGAAGCTGAAGATGGCATTGCTAGGCACTTTTAATACTGGCTGAAGAAGGACTGGGAAGAAACTGTGGGGAAAAATATTATGTGAGAATAATATGAAAATTATTTATTAGAATTGTGGACAAATTATGTTATATCATACATCATCACCATCAACAGAACATCATCATCATCATCATCACCATCATCATCCTCACCTTGCTAATGAGAACTTCTCAGCACTATCCCCCTGATAGCCATTTCCATGTTTCTGGTAAAACCTTAGGTAGACCCAACTGTTAAGAAGACCAAATGTAAACAAGACGGGGTAAGTAAGTTCTACTATCCCGATTACGGAAGCCAAATATACTAAAAACAATAGCACTAATGGAATGTGTCGATTCTGGAATTTACAATTTGGGAATGTAAAAAGAACTGGCTCCGGCATAACTTGCTTGACAGCAACACAGAACCCAGCAACACTACCTGAGAAACCATAGATGTGATATTCAAAAAGATATTCTGCTTCTTGCCTGGTTAGTGACCGCACGGTGAACACAAACACCGCAAATATGGCCGGAGCAAAAGTGTTGATTAAAATAAATTTGTACATTTCTAGGCCACCCCACAGTGGTTCCAACAGCTGTCCGTACAAAAAGGCAACTACTAAATTGCATAGTAATGTCCAAAAGTGAATTTCAACAAAGGCATGCGTGAACAGAGTCCAGATTTTAAAATTAGGTGGAAAAATTTCTGCAGCTGAAATGACAGTGTTGTGATATAAAAAATGACTGTATGATAAGAGGTAACCAATTATCATAAAAATCCAGAGACATTTTACAAATAAGCTGGAACTTTTTATTAGTTCATGACTCTGTGATTTCGCGGCTTTGATCTAAAAAAAAATAATTAGTTGGCACTTTTTTAATTTTATTATTTATTTATTTAAAAACAAAATAAAATGCAAATTAAATCTATTATTAAAAAGTTCAATCAACACAAAAATTTTTAATTTTTACACGTAAAACTAATTCGGCCATTAGAAATTAAAAAGTCTAAATTTGTAAAATTTGTGGAAATGCTATAAAAGAAGATTTCTAACAAAAATCAAGATATTTTCGGGCAAGGCCATTTTTAAACATTTTCGGTAGTAAAATAAACAAATAAAGGCAAAAAATACTATAGCACCTTTTTTGTAAAAATTAAATTGAGCTTACCTTAGGATGCCTCAATGGAACGTAAGCACCTTGTATCATACTTCTGTTGAGGTACAGTTATAATGGAAACAGTTAGAAAGTTCTGTGTTACTTTCTATACTTCTATATTTTCAATTGTATCTACGGAAAGATGTTTCAATGTACGTCAATGACAAAGAAGAGCCCCAAAGTAACACCTTAAACATTCAGCACCTTTGAGAATAAAGATTTAACAACAAAATTTTGTAAACCCACTTCATCAGTAATATGAACCAATATGATGAAGATGATGATGAAGATGATAATAAAAGTAATAATAATAACAACAACAACGTTAATAATAACGTTAATAAGCCATAGTTATAATTTATATGTACTAGCAATTATGAAATTTTAATGTATCGTAATTTAAGCAATCAGAAAAGCAAATACAATTTGCTTATGAAATTATAAACTTGAAGATGTTAATGTTAATGATGGTCCCAATAAACAAAAAACTTTTAGCGTCATTTTTTATAAAGCTTGAAAACATAAACACTCGAAAAATACAAAAGAACGATATTTTAGGATAAAAAAGCGCTAGACTATCAACTAAATGCCAGTTACACATCTTATACCAATTATTTTCATCAACCTGTCCTCAGTAGTCCATGCAGCAATCGACTTGAAAGAATCTTACATAGGATGCTATCGAAACATCAGCTCAACGAAGACAGTTGCATCAGTTGTTTCGGTTGATGAATGTTCACAGGAGTGCAAGTTAGAAATTAACAACATGATTGCTTTGAAGAATGGCGAGAATTGCAACTGTATTGAAAGGTTAGATTCAGCAGTGGCTTCATCCCAGTGTGATGTTCCTTGCGACAATAAAGATGCTTGTGGTGGAAGTGATTCATATTCCGTTTATAAAAGCAAGCCACGAGTCATGCACGATGCATATGCAGGTTTTCTTTATCGTCAGGCTGGTTATATATTGGTGATCTTACCAAAAAATTACACTCTCGAGATGTGCGCACATTTCTGCTTTGAAACAAATCACACATTCTTTCAAACAATCAAGGTAAACAATTGCAGTTGTTTCGAGAATCCAAAACTAGGAGTAGGTTTAGTAAAAAATCAGTTGTGTGAAAAATGCAACCATTTTCAAAATGAAGTTTGTAACTGTTATTTTGAAACATATCAATTAATGAACACAATATTTACGACACGCTTCCAATACGACTTCCAACGAGGAGTATCGACTTATTCTCACTGCAGAAACAGAAACAAAGGAAATTACGAAATAACTGCAAACTGTCCCGATGGATGCGATCCGGGATGGAGAGGTGATTCATGCAGAGAAAGAGATTGCTCATCAGGTGGAGGAGATTGTCCCGTTGGAATGGAATGTATTGAGTCCACGGTGAATGGTAATAAGTACGTTGAATGCGTCTGTCCCCCTGGTAAGGTCAGAAACAAGTGGTACCAATGTGAGGTTTTCAGGAAGAATATAGCTCTGAACAAACCACCTTATTATAGTTCGCATAGGTCTGTAAATGAACGTATGCTTCCATCATTTTTAACTGATGGCATATATAGTGGATATTTTGTGTCACATATTTCTGATTCAATGCCAGCTTGGATGGCAGTAGATTTACTCAGTTTACACTGTATTGGTTACATTAGAGCATATAACAGAGTAAGCTCAACAGAGGACATGTTATCACAGATGGACAAGTTTGTCGTTAGACTCAACGAAACACTCAACACAACTTCCCAAGACGACATAAGAAACCAAACTAACTTGTGCGGATATGGACCAGAAAATGCACTACAAGACGGATATCCCATGATTGTCTTATGTAAAAACTCTTCCCTATTTTCACAATTCGTCATCATCCAACAATCTGATGAAAAAATGCATCAAGGCGTTACATCACTTGCAGAGTTGGAAGTGTTTGAAGTTGGATGTGGATGTGATATCTTCAACGAAGAGTGTGAGAAACCGAAATGTACCGAAGTAATTGAAATGGTACAACCATCCTCAGATGTAAAAATCTTACTACTATCACTCGAGCATTTCAGAGAGATACTCTTGAAACTTCACCCAAACCATTTATCGATACGAACACGCTTATACTAATTATATCAGCTTTGTGTTTGCTATTTCTAATCATGGTTGCAACCGTAATTGCTATAAGAATGCGAATGGGGTTGCGTGTGCCTTGTGACAAACATTCTGATGCAACAACTGAAGAGTTGTCTGAAGTGAGTTCCGAAGAAACATCTAGACATGGCACATTAAATTCATCCAATTATTATTAATATTAAATGAGAAAACGTGTATACATCGCCACCAATTGTTCAAACGTAATGATCTCCGCTTGGAGTAGGTGAAACAAATTTTAAAAAGTTTTAAAATTTCATTTGTTTTTATTTTTTTGATACTTTCTGGATTACTCAGTTTATCGAAATTATTTTAACTATGAAACGACGATTATCTTTTTCTGTTTTTTAAATTCGTCATATTTTATTAATAAAGTTTTTTATTGAAATGCACTTCTGCGTAGTGTTTTATGAAAGCAACATTTTCGTTGACTACAAAGTATGACACAAACGCTTTCATGTCAACGTTCAAGTTAAATCTTATAATACAATATATTTTTTGGCAGAGAATATAAATAATATATAAAGCGTAGTTTATACGCGGTTCAGTGGCAGAATTTTTCCTTTTCTAGCTGCTACCACAACGGCAGATGAAAATTTTAAAAATACGAAAATAACCTTCCGCAATGGAATTTTTACCGAAATGCGTAGAGGTACTTGGCACTTACAAGTTTTTCGGAGATATGCATTGCCAGATCAGGAACATTTTGTGTTTGCTGCATAGGTTTCCGGGGGTGTTTGTGTGTCGGAAAATATCACGCTGAATTCCGACGTGACATACATACATACTGTTATAACCGACCCCTTGAACTTGTAGGTTGTGGTTATTTCTCACTACGTGGATTCTCGACTCCTTAACAGACTTATTTTAGATGAACTTTATCAGAAAGAAAACAGTGCTGGCAATCACTTGCCTGTATTGCTGTGATCAATCACTCGTTTATTCAATCGTTAAAATCGTTAGAATACAGCACAATAGCTAATCGACGAGGTAAATCACAGAATACAACCGATCGTCAACAATTAAGCTCCTCTCATCAGACTAATTATATTGAGTTCTCCTGAAACAGCATCTCCTGGCGCTCAGATTCGAACCGGGGACTGCTGCATAGGATAATATTATGAAAGTTGGCCTCTTACGACTGATTATCGTGGCAGCCAATCACGAAAATTAACTGAGATGATATAAATATGATACAAATTAAACGCTTTATACGATTCAAGAATGCAAATACTATTATACACGTACACAACAAGACGTGTGCTAACGTGGTATTAATAGCAATTAGACCATGATTTCATTTCTGCTATACATCTGCTACTATAATTTTTCTGGTTTTTGTTTCAAGTACACATGTATCGGGTGCACGCGTACTCAGTATAAACACTACAAAGTTCGCAAGTACTTGACTCCACCTACTGTAAATGATAATGTATTCAACTATAATTTCATTCGTCAAAAAATATAAACAAGCAATACTATTGGTCAAAAAAATAATTTTGTTCAAAATAGCTACATGGGAATTTCCTAATGTAATGTTTATAAAAGTTCTAGGTTCGAATTCTTCAGTTCAAGTGCACGCGAATGGAGGTTTAATGCTTGGGTACATTCGGTTTTAAACTTTTGAAGGTTTGCAAGAAATGTCGACGCTGTTTCGTCCTATAATTAATAATAATTGATAATTATGCTGGCCGTTTAGATAGCTAGATTCATTGTGCAACTGTTGTAAATCGTGTAAGTTTATATAGTTAATTAAGTTAAGTTAAGGAAAAACTGAGAAGATATTGATAATATATAAATATATATAATATAAAATAAAATAAAACAAACGTAAATAAAACCTTTCCACTCGGAGCTCTGCTAAAAGCTAAAAGTTTTAAGCTACTGTAACATAATTATAAAAGTTAATTAAATTAATAATTTTATTCCCTCACGTCCTGAAAGACAGCCTTAGCAGCAGTTGAATATGCCGCGGAGTTCTGATGTGGTCTGCATCATCGTGACGATGCCCAATTCTTACGATTTTGTCGTTGAGGCTCCCAGAAGCGCCAGCGGTTACTTCGTCTTTGATAAGGTCGGTAGTTATACTGGCTAGGTCATTTTATTAAATATTCCAATTAATTTATTTTTTGTTCTAATTAATTCATGTTATTTTATCTTTTAATTGAAATTGTTTTTACCTTCTAATGCAAATCTAGCAGATCATTTTATCAAAGTTTCATTTACACTTACTTCAGGTCTGTGACAAGCTGAAGCTGCTGCAGAAAGATTTCTTTGGCCTTCAAATGATTGATGAGGAGAATAACAAAAGATGGTTGAATTTGAGGAATTTAATAGTAAGTGAGGTTGGTAGCTCCCAGTTCTTCCGATTTCTGTTTGGTATAAAGTTTTTTGTTCAGACTCACTACCTTCTGCAAGAAAGAACGAGGTTGGTCGAAGAGTGTAGCAAGAGAGTAATTATGATAATACTTTTCTCTCTTTTACTCAGAAATTTGTAATTAGAGTCATCAAAGAGTTAACATTTATATAAATTATGATAAAATATTCAAACGTTTGTGTCTAATGATTCAACATTTTTATTTCTTTCCAGAGAAATATTTTTCCAACTTGCCAAAAACCAAATCATCGAAACAGAGGGACCCCCGATGTTAAGCGAAAGCCTTTTAAACACGTCACTAACAATTTTAGCTCAATATTACAACAGCAGCAACAGTAAACATTCCAATTTAGAAGACGATGACACGACCTACGAAACAGTGCTACAGAAGTTATCCTCATCGTCAAAGGCAACAGACAACAGCAGCAGCAAATTACTATTTAATGATTTACTAAGGGAAGCAAGTAGAAACGAGATAAGGACGTTATTTCTCAGGAACATGTCACATTACATGAATGCCATTGGTCACAAGTACACCGCTGAGTTGGATAGGGAGGTTGTGGTGATCGGGGTGCTACCTGGTGGCATATCATTTCTATCAAACTGTCTTGAACCTCTTAGGAGGTTAGAAAAAATATGCTGTTTTTCTATTTTGTAATTGCTGTTTTTACCTGGTAGAGTTTCTGTTAATGTGAGCATCGCCACCACCACCAACACAAAACAACAACAAAGCAACAACAATGCTGGTGATATCAACACATTACTAACAACAACAGCAACAACAACAATATCACAAAACATCAACGTCAATCCTAATAACACTAACATTAACTAACACCATAAAAAAAACCAAAACTTAAATTAACTACATTGTCATCACCAACAACAACATTACCATCACCAACAACAGCTACCCCTGGTGCAGTTTACAGCAGGCCACACAAAACGCCCTTGAGGTCACTGTCAAGGTCATATCAGATGACCTCTCGATCAAACCTCTCAAGTTCATGCTTCATAATAAGTCCTCAGCCAACGCATTCTACAGAGACCTGACAGAGGTTACAATGCTGATAATGATGACTTTAATGATGATGATGATGTGAAGGTGGTGGGAGCGAAAATAAATTAAAAAATTTTTTGTATCTCCATAGGTGTACACATTTTTTCATTGTGACTCAGTGGCAGAGCCAGTTATGCAGCAGTTTTGTAGAGACTTCAAAGGCACATTTGCTGCTCTTTTCGTTGAAAATTCTGATTATGGTCAGTTTTATTTTCGTTTAATTTATTTTCAATTTAATTTATTCATTTTTATGTGTTATTATTTAACTCATTTTCAGTTTGAACTGTTCATTTTTTCGTATTATTAGTTAATTTATCAATATTTAGCTTATTAATTTAATTTATATTTAATTAATTCATTTTTCGTGTTCTTGGTATCATTATTGTTATTTATATAAATCTAAAAGTTGCCCTCCAAACTACAAATAACTCTCTAGTTTGCAACTTTCACTTTTCCTACCAAAACACCTGCAACATCCAATTGTAAATGCCTGAAATATTACGTTATAATATAAATAAAAATAAAAAACTTGATCAAGAGGTCATCTGATATGACCTTAAAAATAAAAATAATTATTTTTATTTTTTTTTATTTAGTTATACGATGAAATAACTGTTGTAATAAATAAATAAACTGTTAAAATAATGTTTATAACACCCGAAGGCAAAGAATACATATTTGATATAGAGCATACGCTGAAAGAGTCAGATGATAGGATTAGAAGACACATATACAAAGAAGAGAAGAACAAACTAAGTGAAAATAATAATAATAACAATAATAACAACAATAATAATAACAGTAATATTGATTCGTGTAGTCGGAGTAGCAACTGCATAACATCTGTTGAATATAAACTGCCAAGTGATTTTGATAAAGAGAATGCTAATACCATTGATGGTAATTGTGCTGGTGTTTCTTGCAGAGCTGATTGTCCGGTGAGGAGGTTTTATGTTTCATTCGTTGACTTTTTATTTTAAAATAATTTTTATTTTTGTTAGTTTTTCTTATTTTGTGATCTTCTGTTGTTTTTGTTGAAGAATAAATAGTTTAAGAATGAAGGACCCAATTCTCTAAAATTGGATTATCTCATCTGTCTTTTGGTGTGTAGCTATGATAAGCAAGCATAATCTTTACATTTTTAGCCATAATAGAACATAATTATTATTAAAATTAGAATAATAATAATAATTATGAATAATGAATTCTTTTTACAATAATATAATATTAATATAGCAATAACCCTGATGGCAATTTTATTCTCAGTCTGCCGATAAACTGAAGAGTGTACGAGACAGCTTCCTATGTTGCATATGCGCTGATCGGGAAATAGGCACAGCTCTTGACCCTTGTGGTCACGCGTTCACTTGCTACAAATGTTCCGACAGAATCGACAGCTGTCCGATCTGTAAGAGGGATGTGCTGAAAGTTATCCGCCTGTATCTGCCGCATTCGTTCTATAATCGAGCAGACGATCAAATTTTACCGTATGTCTCATAGCGCGTTGTTTCAGTTCTTTGTTTTAGTTTTTTGTTTATCTTAAAAATCTCCGTCTTGCTGGTTTTAAGTATTTTTTTTATTTGCGGTTGTTTTTTTTTCTATAGTTCGTTCATAATTTTGTTTCTTCTGTATGTGTTTCATTGTGCGTATGAATTGATGTCTTTGTTGACAGTTTCAACCCGAGTTTGTGTTTTTATACCGGTATACGTGTGTATGCGTGCGTGTGTGTAAGTAAGTGTATGTACGCGTGTGTGTGTGTACGTGTGTGTGTGTGTGTGTAAGTGTATGTGCGTGTGTGCGTACGTTATTATTTAATCTTGTTCGTTTGTGACAAGGCTATTGAAAAAAAACCAGTGTTTCATTTACAGACTGTTGCATACGATCAATAAGAAATAAAATTTTTTTATATATTATATTGGCACCAACATTATTGCTTTACTACGTCTTATTATTATTATTGTTATTATTATTATTGCTATTGTTATTATTATTATTACTACCCCTATTATTTTTGTTGTTTTCATGAATAACCAATGAACATTTTACAAATTTATTTTACGCTTTCATTACTTTATTATTATTATTCTCAAAATTTTCATTTATAATAAATAATATATATTTATATATAATTAATCAAAAATTTTCATTAAACAGTTGCTTTTGTTCAACATTTATATATATATATATATATATATATATTATGTTGGTAAATAGAATAATATAGAATACATTTAAAAAAATATATATATATATATATTACATCTCTATATATATATATTTTATATATATATATATATATATATATATATATATATATATTGTGCTGTGCTAAGGCAATAATAATAATAATAATAATATGGCTAATAAAGCAATAATAATAATATACCTTACATTGCCATACCCGTGTGTTATATTGTAATATACTTGCATATAGGTATGAAGGCCATGGTTTTAGTTCAGTACGTGTTTTTGTATCAAATGGAAAGAACATTGAAAAATTGGTTTTATTAAAAGAGTTGAACAGACCAACATAAAGCTATTTTTGTTCTGACTAAAATTATTATAAAGCTATATAAACATATATTCATATGTTTGTGTGTGTTTGTGTGTACTTGTGTGTGTGTGTTTTTGTGAATTAGTTGATGTTTTCTGGATGTCTTAGATGTTTGCTTGCCCTACGTACGTGTGTATGTTTAATAAAATTTTTAGTACGAGCTGCAAAAAATGGCTAAAAAACATAACAAAACGTTGACTGAGATATATCAAAAGCTTGAGACTTCGTTAATACTAGAATTATAATAAATATTATTTTTATCAAGCCCGTTATTTATAAAAATTCTAAAGCCGTTAAACTGAATTTAAAATGCAGTGAATGCAGTCGTCAAGAACTAGAAGGAACTTGTATATATCCATGTATTTGTTGTACAAAGGATTGAATGACAGCCTCAATACATTTGGCTCCCTCTTGTCTAACTTTAATTTTTAAGAAATGTGGTCGTTAATTATTTAATGAATAATTAAATAATAAAACTTTTAAATATAACAAAATGACGGGAAATAATCTGAAAAAGCTTACCAAAACTCCGCGTCTTGATAGTTCTTTAAAGAGAGGCAAAACCCCTGTGTTTGTTGTAATAGAAAATTGACAACCTCTTTCAAACGGATTTCTCGGAGTTATAATGTCGACCGAAAATTCTTTTCTACTCTGGACCCCACTAACGTTGACATTTTCACTAACGTTTTGCCTATTCTTGCCGTATTTGGTTAGTAAGAGGTGTTCGAAGTAGGCCGACATTAAAAGGGATTTTGCCCGGAAGTCCTCCATTGAAGTCTGGTCGTACACCTAATTGTGGTCGTTATTTTGTTCGATCTTAGATTTTTCCAGATTGTTTGCAATATTTTTTTAAATAATTTTTTACTTATATTAGATCAGATTACACACACAATGTTTTAACTATATTTGGCTGTTATTTTTAGTAGTTAAGTTAAATGTGTTCTCTTTTTTAAAGTCATTCAATCGCATTCATATGTATGCAGGTTTAACGACGATAGCAAACAATCAGACAACTTTTCCTTGAAACGAAACGATACAAAAAATGTACAAAACGAAACGATACGAAACATGTAGCGATCCCTGCAAACAGGCGGTTAACAATCCTGGTGTGTTGCTAATCCTGTAGCCGAGAGCACCAGGAATTAAATCCATTTCTATGGAATTGAAAAAAAATTGGTTTAGGGTTTTTTAAATTTGTTAGAGCATCATCACGAACAAAATATGATGAACCAACAAGTTCATAACACCTAGAACAAGATTAATAAAGTGTTACATCATCAACAAGAAAACCAGCAACAACAAACTGTTATTCATAAAAAAGCGTGTTTCCATCTTGTGTCCCCACCATCCTAACAATTTCGGCATTTCCACATTTTCGAATTTCTGGTGGATATATACGCCTGCTATTCCTCCCGCGCCTGAGCACAAGTACTTCAAGGGTTTTTGTGTTTGAGAATGTACGTGTGTGCGTGTCAGCGTATGTGTGTCAGTGTGTGTGTGTGTGTGTGTGTGTGTGTGTGTGTGTGTGTGTGTGTGTGTGTGTGTGTGTGTGTATGGTGTGTATGTTACCTGTACGCTGCTTACGTTAACATTCATTTATATGAACTTTTTAGTTGTATGTGCAATCATACTACAATTTTATTGATCGATAATAACGACTTCAGTTGAGAATCATTGGTGGAATAAACTATAGCATATCTATCTATTTATCTATGCCGATGATTAATGTAGAATTAAGATATTTGCGATTATGAAAACTACGATTACGACAATTACAGTTTCGAATATTAAGATGACGAGACCGTCACGAACCTTGTATGTGCACCAGCAAGCAAAATCGACGTCCCAATCGTGCAACTTCAGAGGAACATTCCCGACTGCGTGAGCCAAATCGAAGCCAACGTAACATCCCTGATGAGGGTTACAGTGACGCGTTGGTGGTGGCGATGATGGCTGCGATGATGATGATGGTGACGACGATGGTGAGAATTTTTTTCTTTTGTATGTGCTGAGATTTTGAGCATCGCATTGCTTATGCATGAATATTTTTTAACTAGCGTTAAACAATTTTTTTAATGTAATGGCTAATTAAAAATGATAGACTATTGATTTTTTTTTTCAATCTACTCTATTTAAAAATATGTGTCTTTGTTACGTAATTCAACTCAATCACAACAACTGAGCGTAATGTAAACGTTCGTGGAATTAAAACTTTTCGGTCTAATTTGAAACAAAATTAGAACAACTTGTCATAATTTAATTTGAAAATTAAGTTTTTATATCTGTAATGAGGATATTAAAAAAATAATATTCGTTTTTATAAATATAACTTATATAACCATTGAGGCAATCGACTTGAAAGATTCTTAATTAGGATGCTATCGAAACATCAGCTCAACGAAGACAGTTGCTTCAGTTGGCTCAGTGGATGAATGTCCACTGGTGTGCACAAATGAAATTAACAATATGATCGCTTTGAAGAGTGGAAAAGAATGCAACTGTATTGGAAGGTTAGATTCAGCAGTGGCTTCATCCCAGTGTGATGTTCCTTGCGACAATAAAGATGCTTGTGGTGGAAGTGCTTCATATTCCGTTTATAAAAGCAAGCCACGAGTGATGCACGATGCATATGCAAGTATGGACAACCGTCAGACCGAATCTATCGAGATGACTTTGCCATCTGACTACACCCTCGAAACATGCGCACATTTATGCCTAGAAACTAACCATACATTCTTTCAAAAAATTGCCGACGGCAAATGCGAATGCTTCCAAGAGTACGAAGTTAAAAAAGGTTATATGGCGGAACTTATTTGTAGTCTAAACTGCGATAACGATTCAGCTGAAATCTGCGGTTGTCATCATGAAGGCTATGAGTCTGACGAAACAATAATATTCGCAACGCGTTTCGATAACGAAGTGCTCCGACGGATGTGAAGGTGGATGGAGAGGGGATTGGTGCAGAGAAAGAGATTGTAGGGTATGGAATGGAGATTGTGGTAGTGAATTGAACTGCGTGCAACTGACGGTGAACGGTAATGAGTATGTTGAATGTGTCTGCACACGCGACACTGTTAGAAACAAGTGGAATAAATGCGAGGTCATGAGGAAAAATTTAGCTCTAAACAAACCATCGTATTATAGTACACAATTTTTTAGTGGAGTTGATTTTAAATATGACCTATCATATTTAACAGACGGCATGTACGATGGATTTCACATGTCGCACATTGGTGATAATAATCCTGCCTGGTTGGCTGTTGATCTACTCGATTCTTACCACGTTGGCTTCGTCAGAGCTTACAACAGATGGTGCGAGACTAAAATAATGTTAAATCGAATGGACAGATTTGTAGTTCGACTTAACGGAACATTCGATAGAACTTCAAAATACGACATAAGAAGCCAGACAAGAATTTGCGGGTTTGGACCAGAGAATGCCCTTCAAGGAGGAAACCCATGATTGTCGTCTGTAAAGATTTTGCACTTCTTTCACAATTCGTCATCATCCAGCAATCCGACGATAAGCTTGCATTAGCGGCGGCGGCCTTAGCAGAGTGGGAAGTGCTCGAAGCCGGATGTGACATCTTGAACGGCAGGTGTGGAAAACTGAAATGCGAAGAAACCATAGTAGGGAACGCCTCGGCCATCTGCTGCCGCAAATGTTCAGTCGATGCCAATTACAAAAGTAGCCATAAGAAAGCTGAAAACATTGCATTAATCGTGTTGTGTTTGTTGTTGCTGTTTGTTGCCTCCATTGGGATAGCAGCTGCAGTAAAAAGTAAAAACAGAAAAAAGTGAATCGGAATAGGTCGAAGATTTTGTAGATTCAGATAAAATATAAAAAGTTAAAAAATTTGAAATATCTGATTTTTACAATAATAATACCAATAGGCATGACCTAAATATCGAAACAATTTATAATTTTTTAGAATCAATTAAATATTATTCCGCCAAATCGTCAAAGAACTTTATGCACGTTTTGATCAAAATATTGCGCGCACTTTACTCATTATATTGTTATAACCGTGCTACCGAACGCACTAGATTCTAGCGTATTCTAGAATGTTCTAGTGACTGGAGCATTCTAGAGTATGCTAGAATCGGACCATCGAGAAGAATCTAGAAACGACGCTTGCGAAGAGTATAAAAGCGCACGTAGCAAAAAGCTTAGTGATATTCGTGATTAGTGAAATTCGTGATTTTGTGATTTCGTGAATAGCGATTCGGTGAATTATTTAAAGCGATATTTGATTTGTTTGTTGACGTTGTCATAGCGATAGATTTTAAACAATTTAAAAGCTAATTGTTGCGTTAATTTGAATTTGCAAGAAATAAACGATTAGTTGATTTCTTCTGTAAATAAAGTTTAATAACTAATAACTGTTTGGAGTATTTAATTCAATCGAAGTATTGAACCCGTCGCATCGTAAATCGATTACGACAGCGAGTATTATAACAATATTTTGTCAAAAAGCTAAAAGACTCCTTTTAACAGGGAGCATAATTTGTATTTTAATATTTTTATTTAATGGCAGTTTATTCTCTCACATTCTCAACAATTCACCCATTTATTCAGTCGTCAAACCACCCATACATCTATCCATCTATTCGCCAATTAATATTCATCATTTATTCATTCATTCTTTCATTCATTCATTCATTTATTCATACATTCATTCGTTCGTTCGTTCGTTCATTCATCCATTCATTCATTCATTCATTCATTCATTCACTCATTCACCAAATTCATTTTCGTTAGTCAGTCAATTTTTTTACAATAACGACACACCTTGGCATGTCCGGCTTTGGCTATTGCCTGCATATTAAGAAGCTGTCCGGTAAAATACTGAACGCCGCCCAAAATGACCACAGCTATACTGTCACCTTCTTTTTCTATGGCCTCTAGTATATCTTCATGTCTTAGCAAGTATTCACCCTGGATAGCGTTTTTATTTTTGGTTTTGGTTTTTATCTTTGGTTCGGGTTTTTGGTTATTTTTGGTTTTTAATAACTATTAAATAGTTATTTCAGCCTACTTCTCAGTTTCACTTACTTCTCTGGGGCCAACTATAACCATGCACTCTTCCGGATTTAATCCTCTCTGCCTAATTTGAGATTCGATGCAGTAGTGATCGGAAGGAAATGCTTGTTTTTCTAACAATATTTTGTATCTTTGGCTGGTCGGCTGGTAGAATGATATCTAGGCATATGTGAGTATATAGATTGATTTGTTTGATAAATTTGTTGAATGAATGAATGAATGAATGAATGAATGAATGATTGTCTGATTGATTGATTGATTTGTTGGTTGGTTGATTGACAAATCGGTTAATTTTTGTATTTAGTAAAATTATATACAGTCTAATGCAGTTAAAATAGTAAAATAATAAATTTGCTCTGATAATGTTGATAATAATTAAATGTATGACGACGTGATAAAGACGACGACGAGGAATTACAGATGGTTATTTTTCAATAATAATAATAATAAATAAATTATGATGAAAATAATTATCAAAAAGAATAAAAATTACCAGAAGCAGATGTTGGTTCACTGTCAAGCCGTTCATCATCGATACTTCATTTGGTAGGGCACCTGATTTTTAAGTTTTTTACATGCTGTTGTCCGGGTTTACCAAACCAAATTTTTAAAAATAGTAATACTAGTATGGTAGTAGTAGTAGTAGTAGTAGTAGCGGTAGTAGTAGTAATAGAAGTAGGGTTTGTAGCAGCAGTAGTGAAATTAGCGTTCTATAATATTTCAAGGTTATCACAACTGACTTTAAAGTTTTTTTTTAATTTTATAAAAAAATGTAAAAAAATTTATGAATTGATTGATTAAAGTGTAAAAGAATTGTTGAAAAGCCAAAATAGATAATTAAAAACTTACAAAATTAAATAATAAAATATTTATTCAAGTGGCAAGAAAAAAAACTTGCCGATAAGCCTAGCATTGGATTCTAGCAGTAGCTCATCGCACCAGGCCCATGGGAGGTCTCCGTGTGTGTGTCCCTCTACCCCCCTTTGGAAAAATATACCATCGGTTGTTATAAATAGGGTACTACCGTTGCAGTAAATACGTTCAAGTGTGTGCGTGTGTGTGTGTGTGTGTGTGTGTGCGTGCGTGTGTGCCAACTAACTAAGATCAACTAACACATAACATTATAACCAACATAACACGTAACGACAAAAGAAAAATGTCTAGCAGTCTAATATTTAAACTTACACAGTCCTCCATTTATCTAGCTCTCTCTGGACATACTGTCCAGTTAGTTTGGGCATGAGACCAAGCGAGTGACCGCATAGATACAAACATTCTTCATCCTCTTTCTTATCTATGTCCTCTTCTTTTTTTTCTTTTATTTCTTTGTCTTCTTCTTTTTCTTTGCCTTTTAACAGATCGGCATCAACTGAAAAATATTTTATATCATTATTATTAATAATTATTATCTTAATTATTAATAATTTGTATATTATAGGGTATATCCAATCAAGTATCAATGAGATGTGATTGGTGCGGTGTAGACAGTACAGCCTTTGAGAAGCAAAAAATTTTTTAATTACGATCAGCAGTGCTAGTATTAAAGTGTAACTGTGTAATTCTTAAAATTTTATAGGTATTTTATAATGGAGATTTTATTATTCTAGTAGTTTCATAGTTAGAAGGAAAAAACTTGTGAGAAATAATTTTCAGTTGAGGACAGAAAACAGAAGAAAATCAAAGAGACTAACCACAATATAGATCTTTCTTTTTCGGATAGTGAAACATGTCTCTGAATTTTTTGAGGTTGTCATGCTCGTCGAGTTTTCGCGCGAAATTTTCATCCAACATTGATAAATTAAATTGTTCTTCTTTTTCTTTGAGTATCTCAAAAGGTAGTTTAGCGTCCATCTTCGCAGTTGTAGTAGTAGTAAGTAGTTGTAGTTGATGCAGCAACTGTGGTAGTAGTAGCAGCAGCAATAGTAGTAGTAGTAGTTGTAGGTAGTTGTAGTTAATGCAGCAGTAGCAGTAGTAGAAGCAGCAGCAGTAGCGGTAGTAGTTGCAGTAGTAGTAGAAGACAAATAATTCCAATAACAAAATAAGTTATTTTTATGTTTAAATATGTACAGATAATGTTTGAAATCTAAAGCACATAATCATCACCACATTACAATATATAACTAACATTATATATATAATATATGTGTGTGTGTGTGCGTGCGTGTGCGAGTTTGTATGAGTTTGTTTGTATTTCCTCAAAAACATTAAACATTCCATATATTAAGACATAACTAGTTCAGATGGGATGTATATTATATAGAGGGAGAAAGATAGAAAGAGAGAGAAAGAGAGAAAGGGAAAAACAGAAAGAAAAAAGAGTTATATATATATATATATATATATATATCAAGATAGATGATAGATCAATTGATAGATAGATCGATAGATGGATAGATAGATGATAGATTGATAGAAAGAGATAAAAATAGAGAGAAAGAGAGAGAAGGAGAGAGAGAGAGAGGCAGAGTCAGATGAAAGATGGCGGATATATGGTTGTTAGATTTAGACTTTCAACGGACTATGAATTTTGGCTTCGTAGCAAAGGTATATCTAGCTATTTACTTCTTCATTATTATTATTATTATTATTATTATAGTTTCAGAATTCATATATCGCTACAAAAAATTAGTTTATCTAAATTTCTTTATTCGTTAAATTGATATACAGATATACTAAACCTTTCTTAAAATTTTAGTCTTTAGTAAAATTATCGTGATTATAAATGAATGAAGAATGGATGAATGAATGAGGAATTGATTGACGAATAGTCGGATGAATTTATGGGTGAATTAAAGAATGAATGAGTAGGTAGGTGAATTGTTAAAGAATGATTTAGCTAATAGACTTATGGGATCTGACATGCAAATTATTTGAACGACAGTCAGTTCAATTCTTAACTGACAATAAACTTTGTAATAAAATCGATGACCCGCTGTTTAAAACTATGAAAGTGAACCATACACACATACACACACACACACACACACACACACACACACACACACACACACACACACACACAAACACGTGAAACACAAAATAAAAAAGCCAACAACTTGAGATGATTAAACTACGTCGTGTGAGCTTTAGCTCTCAAAAATTTTTAATATAAGTTACAATTTCTCACATGCGCACACACACAAACACAGAGACGCACGCACACACACACAGACACACGCACAAACACGCACACACACAAACACACACAAACGATTTTTACTATATATCATGTTGCGAGTAAGATTGGCCCAATTAGAATATGAATAATGATAATGAATAATAGTATTAATAATTCTATAAAATAGTAATTAATAATATTCATAATAATTAATAATAAATCAAAGAGATAGGCCATTGCCTCTTAATAACGATGGGATGGGTCCTAACAAAAGCAAATTTTTACCCAAATTTAATTAATATGTTAATAAAAACGAAATAAAATAAAGAATAAATATTAATTAAAATTAAATTAAATAAACAAATCGATGATAATCGGTTAGCTTTAATTTTAGACTTTTAAACGAAGAATAAGAATAAAAAAGAATAATTCTAGTTCAGTCGGCACAAAAATAGCGAAAAAGTCATCGAATTATAATCTGAGGTTTTCAGCACTCGTTGCCGATCCTCCAATATTTCTTTTTACACATGTACACACAAACACACACACACACACACACACACACACATACACACACTTACAGTCGCATATGTGTAGTTTATATGTGCAGTAGGCTACATGTACTGTACATGTCAAATAAACATTTACACAAAAATATAACATTTATACCGAATAGACCAAATGTTAAAAAAATACCATGTTTACCAAAATACACATAAAATATACCTCAAATACACCAAAAATATGCATATCTATGAAGTTAAATTTTAAAAAAATTACACCGTAAACAACTTGCAGAAGGTTAATAGCTATAAATAACAACTACTACATCTCTATTGTTATACTATTGCAGCGTTTCATATTTTTGGCATAGTAAATGGTTTCTGAGACACACACATACGCTACACACACATACACTACACACATATACACACGCACATATAAACAAACACACGCACACATACATATATGTTTGTATATGTATGTATATATTGTGTATACATACTTTTTTGTGTTAAAGTATATACGGTTGTATGGTAATTTTGTAACGTTGTCTCTTGATTTTATTTGTATAAATGTAGACGACTTGTCCGAATGTGACTCTTTGTTTGATTAATTATTATTAACCATGCAGGGTTGATTTTTTTTTTATATTATTTCTAATTAATTAGCTAATTCATTCATTTATTCGTTCGTTCGTTCATTAATTCATTAATTCATTCATAAATTTATAATCAATTATATTAGTGGATAAGTATTCAAGTTCTGTTCACCGTTGAACACGTATAGCAAGAGTTGTAACACGTAACAACTATTTAAAAAAAGCATAATTACATTAACAACAACAACCAAAACAACAACAAACAAACAAACATACCATAAATAAACAAACAAACCACAAACAAAACAAACAAACATACAAACAAACCACAAACAAACAACCACAACAGCAGCAGAAGCAGCTGCTGGAGCAGCAACAGCAACGATAACAACACTAACAGACTGCTGTAAGCAATCTGACGAAATACCTCCACTCGGTTACAAAACGCCTCTGGATGCATTCGAACGCGGGCCCCGCGAGAAACTTCTGTACGTGACTTGTCCAACTGGAGATGGTAGAAGGCCTGACTATTTGGCAACTGTTGATGTTGATCCACAGTCTTGCACGTATTCGCAGGTTGGTTGGTTGATTGATTGGTTGGTTGGCTGGTGGGTTGATTGGTTGAATGATTAATTGATTGGTTGGTTGGTTGTTTGGTGGGTTGATTGGTTTGATGATTAATTGATTGGTTGGTTGACCGGTTGGATGATTAATTGATTGGTTGGTTGGTTGTTTGTTATTTGGCTGGTTGATTGGTTGTTTGGTTGATTGATTAGTTGTTTTTGTTTTTTTGAGTGAGAAGATTGAATCAGCGATTGTTCTGTTCAAAATATTCGTTTAATCATTTATATATAACCATCCAATTAATCAATTAACCATTCAATCAACTATTTAGCCAACGACACGCACACATACACGCACGCACACACACACACACACACGTACACATACACATAGGTCATTGACAGATTGTACATGCCCCATACTAATGACGAGCTGCATCACTCGGGTTTCATCTCTCATTTCAATCTCTGATCAATTTCTCAAAAAATCTATTTTTAATTGTTAAAAATTAAATATTCACTACCATATACAATACATTATTACGTACATTATTACGCATGTTACGCATACAATAAGTTACATCACACACACACACACACGTACACACACACACAAACAAACACACACAGTTCTCAAAATCAAAAATTAGTGAAATACATTTAAAAACCGAAATACCGACAAACAAGGATGGAACGCTTGCTCGAGTTGCTTCGGAGATTCAACGAAATGTCGCAAGTACTTGGTACTACCCTGTTTATACTCGTCTCGTGTTTACGCAATTGACGTACACACAGATCCAAAGCATCCGAAAATCCACAAGGTTTTTCGGTATTTTCAAGAAAAAAAAATTAACTACTTTTTTTGTAATTTTTCGTTTATGTAGTAGTAGCAGTAGTAGATGTAGTAGTAGTAGTAGTAGTAGTAGTAGTAGTAGTAGTAGTAGTAGTAGTAGATGTAGTAGTAGTAGTATTAGTATTAGTAGTAGTAGTAGATGTAGTAGTAGTAGTAGTAATAGTAATAGTAGTAGCAGTAGTAGTAGTAGTAGTAGCAGTGGTAGATGTAGTAGCTTTATTATTATTATTATTATTATTATTGTCAAACTTTTTTAATCAAAATACAAGGTCGTATCTGTTGACGATGTGAAAAAAACTGGCCTGTCAACCCTGCACACCACTCATTGCCTGCCGTCTGGCGAGGTCATGATCAGTACTTTGGGAGATCTGAATGACAATAATCTTGGTTGGTTGGTTGGTTGGTTGGTTGGCTGGTTGGTTGGTTGGTTGGTTGGATGGCTGGTTCTTTGGTTGACTGGTTGGTTGGTTGGTAAGTTGATTAGTTGGTTGGTTGACTGGTTGGTTGGCTGGTTGGTTGGTTCATTGGTTGGTTTGTGGGTTGAATAGTTGGTTACTTGGTTGGCTGGCTGGCTGGTTGGTTTTTCTGGCTGTTTTAAAAGTCTCAATTTTGTCTCAGACTTAACTTATTTTAATATAAAATGAAACCAACGCCATCCAGGGAATTTCTTGATGATTGACGTTCATGAATGGAAGGTCAAGGGCACGTGGGTTGATCTGAAGGACGGAGCCAAATTCGGATACGATTATTGGTACCAACCTCGTCATGACGTCATGATCAGTACGGAATGGGGCGTTCCTAAAAATATTTTCGCCGGGTTTTCCCCAGATGACGTTGCCGCAGGTTTCAGTTTCGAGTTTGCAATTCATAATTTGTACTTATGCAAATTTTAATGTTTCAACACAATTTTTTTTTACATTTTAGCATCATTATTATTTACTTCTGTGTGAATTTAGGCAAATATGGGCGGAGTGTGAACGTGTTGGAGTGGAGTAGGTAGAAAGTGCTGAAAGACGATGACCTTGGTGATTGAAGGCCAGATACCCTTCGAGGTCAGATTTCTTCACAACCCCGATGCCACTGATGCTTATGTCGGCTGTGCTCTCTCTTCGACCGTTTTCAGAATCTTCAAGACGAGCGTTGGTCTTTTTTTTTGCTGAATGGCCCGTAGAATTTAATTATATTTTAATTGAATCAAACTATCAGGACAAGCGAGTTTGAAACAATTAATGGAAATAAATAAAAAATATTTGTTTCAAATTCATTTAATTACATTCCTGTCATCAACATCAATTTTGCAGAGATTACAAAAACACACACACAAACGCACAAACACACACACACAAACGCACAAACACACAGCACACACATAATTAAAATGAAATAATTTAATTCTTGCATCAATAGACAGGTGACTGGTTGGCTGAAAAGGTTATAGCAGTGCCCAGTAAGAAAGTGAGTAACTGGATTTTACAAACTATGCCAGGTTCGAGGATTCTTTCATCTTTTTAATTCTCTCTATACATTCTCTTATTTACTTAGTTGGCTATTTAATGTTTGTGATCAAATATATATATCGCGATAAGCAGTGATGGCGAATTCATTTGGACATCCTAACACATTCGTTGTTTACAACTTCTGTAAAGGTTTACCGGTTTTTACAAAACCATTTCAGATTTTTTTCTTCATATGAAATAATAATTTAAAAATAATCAACGAAAAACTATAGGCCTCATAACAGACATACTGATATCCTTGGACGATAAGTACCTATACGTTAGCAGCTGGTTGCATGGCGATGTGAGGCAGTACAATATAACTGTCAGAAATAAACCAGTGCTTATCGGGCAGGTAAGGAGTGCACACACGCACACACACAAATACACACACACACAAATACACACACAAATACATACACACAAATACACACACACACACACATATACACAAACATACATGTATATTCACTTTTATAGTACACTCACGTATTCTTATTTACGTTTTAATGTTTCATCATTCATAGGTCTTTCTTGGTGGCTCCATAAGTAAAGGCGGACCTGTGACAGTTACCGATGATTCTGAACTCAAAGTTATCTCTTAATCAATCAATCGATCGATCAATCAATCAACTAACCAACCAACCAATCAACCATCAACCAACCAACAACACCAACCAATCAATCAATCAATCAATTAGACAATCAATTTGTTAGTCGTTAGTTTAATTTCTAAATTTTGCCCTGATTGCATAAAAAATAAGGGCCCAGATTTATTGTATTTATTAGTTTCAATATCATTTTTTTATCCCTTTTAATAGAATTGTCAACAACATTTTTAAATTGAATTAATATATTTAAAATTAACAAAAATTATATATTTAAAAATATTTAGGAGCAGCCGGAACCGTTGATTTTGAGAGGGAAGAAAGTGGAAGGTGGAAGCCAAATGTTGCAACTGAGTCTTGATGGTCGGCGCTTGTATGCAACTACTTCCCTGTATAGCAGATGGGATAAACAATTTTATCCGGATCTACTCAAGTAAGGATACTGGGTTTTTGCATTGTGTGTGTGTGTATGTGTGTGTGTGGTGTGTGTGCATTTGTCTCTCTGTGTGTATGTGTTTGTTAAAACATTTAATTTTCAGTATTTTTCTAAATGGTTGTAGTTTGCAAATTTTGGATTAGTGAAGGATTTTTTTAAAATTTGTTTCACTCTAGTTCTAATTTGATACATTTTTAAAATTAACACCTCTTAATGTTCCAACGAGACCGCTTAGTTCATTGCAACGTTAAAAACCTTTGCAGACGATAACCAAACAACCGATAATTAATCAATTATTGATTAGTTAATAATTAATTAATAATTAACTAATTAACGAATTGTATTATCGACCCCACTAAGGAACGGGGCCTCTCTCATACAAATTGACGTAGACATCGTAAAAGGGGGACTCAAAGTTAACCAAAATTTCGGGATCGACTTCGGGGCAGAACCAGGCGGGCCAGTGTTGGCTCACGAAATGAGATACCCCGGCGGAGATTGTTCCTCTGATATTTGGATTTAATTATTTTAATTGGGGTGGTGGTTTCTACCACCATTAATTATTAATTAATTAAGTGATTTGAAGAACTTCAAAGTTATAATGCTATCTGAGATGAAACGTTTTTTGTATCTTAAACGGGCTGATTCTTTAAATTTATGATACATCTCTCTTAAATGATCCATCTATCTCTTAGACGAGTATTGAACGTTGTTTTAAATGTTTTATTTTATCTGGTTTTTATTTTATCTTGTTTTGAATGACAAAACAAATTTTCGTTAATAAATTTATGAAAAATTTCGTTCTATGTCACTCAAATTTTAAAACATCGTCTCCTCTTATAAGTTGGAAAAACTGGAAAAACTAATTACTAAATCTAAACAGTAGATGAATTGAAAAAGTATATATCGTGAAATAATCCACTGAATCTACTAACCCTAACCCTAACCCAACCAATCCCGGCTAGTACATGATGGCAGATCCCTTGCAAGCACACGGATATGACGGCTCCCTCCTGGAGAACCTGAACCCCCCGTTGTTGTGTACGTCCAACTCGTTGTGGTAGCATCCGTAGAAACCTGTGTATGTGTATGTTTGTGTGTGCGTATGTGTGCGTGTATGCCTGTGTGTGCGTGTATGTCTGTGTGTGGGTGTGGTTGAAAATATTGCTTAAAAATGATTGATTGCTTAACGATCTATTTCAATTATTTTGAATAACATTTTCTTATCAAGGTATTATAAAGGCTTTAGCAAAACATTTTTTAACCAGATGAAAAACTATTTCAAAAAGTAAACTAAATCAATCAAACAAAAAGAGATGACCTTTAGGTTCATGTTGGATGAATGGGAAGGTGCTGTCATCGCGAGGGGGTAGCGGGTCCTGGGCATCATTCAAATTTAGCGGCGGTCGGCCCATCCTGTACAGGTTGTAGGGGGAGAAGGCGTGCCCGTTCAGTTTGAATTCGGGAGGGGTGGCGAATTTGTAACCTAGTAGGTATCAATTAAGAAATATTTAAAAAAAAAAATTATGAAAAATAAAACCAAATCCAACTTCAAAATTATTTTGGTCTTAATTTTCAAAAAATGAAAAACCTAGTCCACCGGGCAATTTTGAATCATAGGCATCCCTCTTCTTCTGCCACGCTCTCCAATCATCTTCACTTTCGAAGGTCATCTGTCCAGGCACCCTCTCCCGAGGCAAGGCCATCTTTTCGTGATGTTTCTGCCAGCCGAGTGACCTCGGGTCATAGTGGGGTCTGCCAGACCAAACCTTGGAAAGGCCGTCACCACTCAGGTAGTTGAGGCTCTTGTAAGGTTTTAAGCACTCGCCTATTGGACAGCTTTCGTTAGTTAATTTAGTAACGTGAAATAATCTTTAACAAAAAAAAATTATTGAAAATAATCAATAAAAAAAAGTTGAAAATTACTTGGGATCCGTAACAACGTCCAATGTTTTAGGCTTGCAGATGTGCTCAAATGAAAATACAGTCGCCATGATAATATTATTATAGAAATTTGTATACTACTATTGCTCTTATTATTATTATTGTCAATAGTAGTAGTAGTAGTAGCCGTAGTAATAGCGTCAGTAGTAGCAGTAGTAGTAGTAGTAGTACTGTATTGAATAGTGAGACGAAAAATCTAGTATAAAGTAATTATAAGTTTAGTTTTTAAACTAGTTTTATAAGCTAATGATTATTTAATTGATTGATTAATTAATTGATTGAATGATTGATAGATTTTAAAGTAGCGAGTTTAATAAATTTGTGTAATAAATAGCTTTAAATAGAATTTTTGAAGCAGTCCAAACGATCTGTTTTTAAACATAACCATGGTAATGATGATACTATATACGTACACACACATAAATATATATATATATACATAGATATGTAATATACTGACATATACCCATAATTAAACAGTAATTATTTTTTTGTTAAAACTACATATATTTAAGATAAAATGAACGTTAATTGTACCATTGATGTACTACACAACTATTGTTAAGCGCTCTATAAATTGCTCTTGTTTATGTTATCAAGTTACCTGTATTACCTTTGTTTACCTTTAGAAGTTGCATTGTATGTTGTTATATTGTACTAGCTTTAATGTTCATTCGTGGTGTTAACACAAATTTCAGCCTATTGTTTATAATCCGGACGAATTTTATAAACCAACATTATTGTAGTCAAAGTTATTTATTGATTTGATTTTATTCATTTTTGATAATCAAAACAAATTTTTAAAAATAATCAGCCATCACAGATATTATAACAAAATAAATTACATTATGTCATTATGATCATTAATTTTTTATTGTTTAATGTCATTTTTTATTCCTTTAACATCTAAATCAGCATAATAAAATTAAAACGAATAAACGTAAAAGTTTTAAAAAATGTCGACAAAAGCGGATAGCTCACGGAACGATGCCAGCATGGGTAGTATCGGTTTCATGATATCGACTCCAGAACCGACAGTGCCAACCGGTAAACCGAGTTACATGAAGAACAAATTCAGCGTCCTCAACATCATCAGTTTCATCCTCTTCATATTGGTACTAATATTCGTACTCGTAAGTCTCGTATCTCCATATTGGATGGTTATGAGAGAACCGTGGATCGAAAGGTCGGTAATTTTCTCGGTAGTTTTGCCGGTAGATTTGTCGGCGTCTTTTTTCGATGATTTATCGGTAATTTTAACGATACTATCTTTAATTGAACAACAGGCTGTTAGTACCGAAACAATTTCAAATCGATCCGGAGAAGCACAGTGCCTGGATCGGCTTGTACTCGGCTTGCAACACCGAAAATAATTGTAATTCGGGTACGCCCTACGAGACTAAAGGTTGGTTAGGGGAAGAAAAATTTAAAGAGACAATATCAACTAATCAGTAACCGACAATACTTTTTTTTAAAGTTATATTTTCATTCATTTAAAAACTTTCATTCTTTCAGTCATTCAAATTGTTCATACCATAATTTCATTGACGATCATTCGTTTATTAATAATTTCCTCTCTAACTTCACTCGCCCACACACACGCAAACACACACACACACAAACAAACACACACACACACACACAAGAACACTCACGCACGCATCACATCAGGTTGGTTTAGGGCAGCCCAAATAACTTATGCCATGGGATTCGTCATAATGTTATTAGCCTTCGTTGTACAATGCATGTACCTGTGCTGCCTCGTTTACATCAAACTTCCAAACTATAAAATCATCTTTATCGTCGCCATCATCCTTCTTATTGGCGGTATAAATATAATTTTTTCTCATTTTTAATTAAATTGAATTTAAACTTCTTAACTTTTGAATTAATTCGATTAAGTTTAAGAATTAATTGGTAAATTATCCAAAATGTTGTAGCGAATTTTATCAACATGGAAATATAAAATGTTTTTTTAAAGGAGCGTTAATAAGTTCGAAATTTACCCGTGAGCGTATTTGTGACAAGTGCAACACGACTTTGTAAAAGCTTCAGGCGCAAGGAAAATTCAATTAAACATTTTTTTTAAATTTTTTTTAAATTAAACTGTAAAAACGACAGAAAAATAATAAGAATATAGTGAAATTTCGTCCTTGACTACCATACCAACATTGGCAAGCATAGACCTGATAGGATAAAAATTAACTTTAAGATTTATAACATACAAGTATCTAAATCAACACATGTTTGGAAATTTACTTAGTTAACATTATATGTACCTACGCGTGTGTAAACTCTTACATAGATACTTTTTTTGATAGCAAGATAGCATGTGATAGTCAATGAGATACATTTTCGCAAGGTTACCAATGATAGAAAGAGTGCATACAGTGCGTTACGTTCTACTGCCTGGTCGAGGATGTCGACGTATAGATATTTGCTAATGGAGCTATTTAACTTCGGTTGCACTCTAAGAACTGATGATAATAATAATAATAATTATTATAATAATATATAATAATAATAATTGATGTTTTATTTGGTTGCAGCAATATTAATAAATTCAATTTCTATTTTTTATTTAAAAAAAAAACCTTGCACCCGGAACAGCCATCTTTTGCAGTGTTGGGCTTGGACTATTCGGCTCAATGACGCTCACCGACGGACTCCTAACTCCGATGAGTTTGAACGGGCCGGGCGGTGTCCTCACCTGGGCTTTTTTTCTCGGTATAGTCGGTACATCACTGGCCGGAATTACGTCATTAATCTTTCTCATAGATGGCATGGTGCAAGCCAAGAAGGCTGAAGATAATGAACCGGTATCTATGTACATGTCTAAGACGAGCAATGCATAAACCTTTTTTTTTCTTAATTTTTAATTTTTACATTTTAATTGCCGTTTCAATAATAATATTTAACAGCGATATTTTTTATTTTGTTTATATTTCTGTACTGTAGAATTGTTGTAATTATAAAATAAATTTGTGTGTATAGCTCAGGGGAAATCACCATCAAATTAATCATTTTTTAATAAATGAAGCCCCCAGTTTCTTAGAAGTCGGTTTATTACTTCACTTTAGCAGAAGTTTCAAGTGTTTACGATTCGCAAATTATGTTGTAAAGATTGTAAAGTTGCGACACTTTTTTTTAAACATTAGCAGGGACTACTTCAAAAAAATTTAACACATCTGCTTTCAATGTAATTGAGGAGGTATACACTGAGAAAAATGACAGGTTTGTTGAAAATGAAAAAAATTTCGAATGAATAAAATTTTAATGTTCCCATTGTTGGTGCACCTCAAAATGTTGTCAACATTTCAACGAGTGATTCAAGTATTGATTGGCTTAATGGCTGGCTGTGTTGAGATCAGAAACAAGTGCCGTTGGTGTTCGCCGTCATAATCGTGCGTGTATATAAGGTAAGGAAATGTTATTACGTCGTATTCCGTTTGATATTTTGCTAACATAAGAAACTATTTAGAAATTTAGAAAGATTAGTTTCGATAGAATATGATTTAAAGAATTTGTAAAATGTTGTTTCTTGCCTGAAAGATGTTGGACTGGAAGAAATTCGTTGAGGAATTAAAGTTGTTCTGTGAGAAGGTGACCATCAGAGGCGTGTCGAACATTGTGAAGTCGAAACAAACCGTTATCGCGGCTCTCTATTCGCTGGCGGTTCTCACTTGTTCCGGCCTGTTGATATGGCAAATCAGCAGCCTGATAGAGAGCTACCTGAGTCACCCGTTCACCACAACCATGACGGAACAAAACGTCGATCCTGTCTTTCCGACGGTAACGGTTTGCCATTTGAATCCGATTCTAATGGCAGAGGAAAGATTCACAAGTGTCCTCTCGTGGTCTCGTCATTTGCAGAATATTCAAGACGCCAGATTGAAACTCAACTACGATGACCTGGCCATTCTTTATCCAACCATATCGAGGGCCGAGTTTGAGACGATAGTGAAAGATCTGAGGACGGCTGGTGGATATTTTGCAAACTTTCCGGTAATGGATTTAAAATCGATCGTCAACACGGAACTGATCATAGATCAAAATCTGGTGGACTGGGATTGGATAAATTATGAGCGGAACGCATCTTCGGAGCCTCTCTGGGACTCGAACTACGCCAACTGCTTGAAGGTTACCTTGAATAATGAGGATAGAAAACGCGTCAGATCCATGAGTTTGATTTTTTATCTGCACAACTTCCCAAAAGTTGTGTTACCCGGGTCCTACTATCTCACCGCACTTACGTCCAAAGCTACGGGAGTTCGGATAAAAATTCATTCCCCAAACACGAGAGGCGATATGAAGAGTGGAATGAATTTGAGACCAGGAACAGAAAGTACGTTCTACATAAGAATGGTCAACAGATCTAGACTGCATTATCCGTACAACAAAGAGGATTGCACAGATGTCGACAACGAGACTCCAGGCGAGAGCGGATACCTGTACAGTAGGGAGGCTTGCATGGACTACTGCATACAACAAAAAGTAGTTGACGCTTGCAAATGTGTATCCATCGACCACTTACATTCGGACACACAGTTGAAGCAAGCAAACTACATATCGTGCGGCAACATGTCACACATTAGCAGCAATGAAAACGACAGACTGAGCATTTACAACGGCCCAAAAAACTCACCGATCCTCTACGCAAACACGACCTACTTTCTACCCGAGTTCATGAAACTGTTGGCTTGTCAGCGCAAAACATTGCAAACGAACACCACCTCGTGTTTGAACAAATGTTTGGTCCCTTGCAACGAAGTTTATTACGACTACCAAGGATTGTTTGTTGACTGGCCTGACATCACCAGACATCTGCCCATCTTCAGACGCTACATAACAAACTCAACCACCAGACTGAGACATAAACTTCTCTTCCCAGAGCACACCCTCCTGGACAGCCATAAAACAAGTGGCACCATGCCGGACGAGGAAATCCTAAAAAATTTGAGCGACCTGAAGCAGATAGAAAAAAATTTTCTCCAATTGAACATCGTTTTTGAATCGGACAAGCCCTACTCCATTCAAGATAAGGAGATGATTACTTCGCAGACGATGCTGTCGTCAATTGGTGGCAGTTTGAGTCTCTGGCTCGGGATTACTGTGATGACCATGGTGGAACTTTTAGAGTTCGTTTTCCATATCATCGTCCTCACCTTCAGCGGAAGGAAAGTGAAAATGAAAAAAATCACAGTTGACGCGTTTCCAAAGAAATTTTGAAATGTAGAATAAAGAATAAATTTTTTGAAATACTCTGAAAGGCAACAGTTTAATATATTCCACGAAACACATGAAAATTAACAACAATTTATAAATTAATTTATTTATTCACTTATTTTAAATTTATGCCATTATATATTTTAAGCACACGACAGCAGTCAATTATTTATTCAGCAAAGCCTACGCACCATCACCGTTCACTTTTTAATCGTCAAATGATGTCTTATATTTTATGAAAAACTGACTCTCCTGAGAAAGAATTTCCTACATGGGAATATCGTCTTCGATTCAGACAGGCCGTTCAGTGTAAAAGACGGGGAGTTGATAGAGTCACGAACGATGTTGCCATCTGAAGGGTCGGTGTTTCAGCCTGTCGATGGGCAAGCATAGTCTCTATGACGTTAGCCGAACTGGCAGAGTTCTTGTTCAATCTGGCTGCTCTTGCTCTCGGCAGAAAGAAAGAAGTTGACAGTGAAATAATCAACGAAAACTAAATTTTAAAATTAGTTTTCAAATTATTTCTTATAAAATGAATGTGTTGTAATTTCCGTATAGAGGAATGAAAGATGAAATTGAACATAAAATGAAAAATATTCTTTAAACTTATGTGCACGAATCGTTTTTTTAAATATTTCCTTCTGTCTCAATGTTTCATTTCTATTTTTTTAGTTGTCTACATTCAAACATTTATTATAAAAGATAAACATTTTTTCCAATAAATTTTCAATTTTTTACGGGACAATTTTTTTCGTAGCTTTTTTTCGTAGCTTTCGTAGATTTTTTTTTACGAAGTTTGTAATAAAAAAATATTGTAAAACTACAAATTGCTGATGTTAATTTGTAAAATAAATATAAAAATAGTTAAAGAGCGATTCATAAATACCTTAAGAAGAAAGAAATATACAGTGGCGAAACAGTAGCTAACATAGCGACTAACTTTTCAATTAATATGGATGAAGTATGATTCACTTGGTTTCTATTGGTAACAATGATAAAACCAAATAACCATAACGTTAAATATGAAGTTAGAACTCGACAACGCGACGTGGATGGAGTTTTCTCTTTATTTCTAATGTTAGCATGGCATATCCAACGACAACAAAATTATTTTAATTTTTTAAATCAATATTATTAACTATTATTAAAACGATTATTATTACTACTATTATATAAACCATTATTATTATTATTATTATTATTATTATTATTATTATTATTATTATTATATTAAATTTTAGTCAGTAATTAAAAATAAGTAAACAAACCAGACACAGACAGACAAACAGACAGACAGACAGGAACATGCATCATGTACGTACATAGTTTTAACCAAAAGCCGTATATTGATTTCATGTCATTACAGTCATTGAAATATGACATTAAGTGGCCATTCATAATGAACAATTCGGCATTGATATGTGATAATTATTAAAAATATCTTCAAAAGCATGAATTACTTGCATTCTGGCGTTTGATCAGTTTTATTTCACTTGTTATATCTGTTCAGTGGTACAAATTTGAACTAACCAAATAATAAATTTGTTTTCGGAAGGTTAGATATCTTTTTTATTCACCCAAAATATGTTGGAATGGTTTGGTTTGCATGTAAAATTTTCTTAATGTAATGTACACAAAAATACTAAATGTACTTTCTGTGATTCTTTCAAAATTTTTGGTAAACTATAAAGAATTTATTAAAAACTCTAGAACAAGCGATGTTTATGATTTAATATTTTATTAAAAACTCTAGAACAAGCGATGTTTATGATTTAATATTTTATTTTTGATATTTTACAATTAACTCATCCCTGACAGATCCCACAATAAAACGCTGGAATGAAACCAACCCATGAAATGATTGCTGCTGGCTGGCTGGCGGGTATGAATGCAGATGAAAAAACAGCATGGAACGTATCATCCTAAGTTTCACATTAATAATTTTACCTGTAATTAGACAAAGCAAATTACAACCCACACAAACGCGCAGTACCTGGATGAGATGAAATTATGTAGATCGATGACTATCGATCTATCTACACGTATCGATCACTTCTTTTCATTATATTTTTCCATCAAAATGTCAATTCCATTAGCAGGACATTATAATGCACGTTCCTAGAATGCCTTTTTGATTCCATAACGGTTTCCGTTATTTATTTTCTCATTTGTCCGACTGGTTAATTAGGATGCAACAATAGCATGCAACTACCTGGAGTGTGTTTGTTGTTGTTGAAATATTTAAAGGGACGTATTGCGCTGAAATAAGTTTACACGCGTTTCATAATATTTAATTATAAACGGGATAAATTATTTTCAATTTAATACGTTGGATTGTCCTTGAGCAATGGTTGACTGGCTTAAAATAGCTGAAGAAGTGAAGTTGTTCTGCGAAACAGTTACAATCAGAGGAGTGGCAAGAATCGTGAAATCGAAAAGAATTGTTGTGGCCGTACTGTGGCTGGTTGCGGTCATCACATGCTCCAGTTTCCTTATATGGCAGTTGTGTCTCTTGTTCGTGAAATACTTCACGTTTCCAATCACGACGACGATCACAGAGCAAGATGTTGATCCAGTCTTTCCCACTGTGACCATCTGCAATTTAAATCCAATTCTAATGGTTAAGAAAGAGTACACAGATCTGCTATCATGGTCCCAACATTTGAAAAACGTCGAGCACGCATTGAACAACACCAACTACGATGCTTTGGCTCAATATTATCCAAATATTCCCAAAAAAGACGCGCAGAATCTAGTGAGAGACCTCGAGTCGCCGGGCGGTTATTTTGCAAATTTTCAAGTTTTCAACCAAAAAAATGACACCGACGTTAGCAAGGATTTGATTGTCGACTCAAGTCTCGTTGGGTGGGACTGGGTGAGATCCAATGCGAGTGTGGATATTTTGGATCAGTGGGATTCCAACTATTACAACTGTTTCAAAACAGAAATCAAAAGCCAAAACAGAGGAAATATAAGATCGATGAGTTTGATTCTCTACATCAACAACTTCCCTACTGCTCTACTCCCAGGCCAGTATCAGCTGGGCAGCTTAACATCCAAAGCCACTGGTGTCAGGATCACAATTCACCTTCCAGGCACGAGAGGTGAAATGAAGAACGGTTTGAACCTCAGTCCGGGAACTGAAAGCACCCTTTACATACAGATGGTCAACAGAAGCAGACTGCACTATCCATACAGTGCAGATGATTGCACCGACGATTTCAACTTCACGCCCAATATTAGCGGATACTTTTATAGCAGAGAAGATTGTACAGACTATTGCATTCAACAAAAAGTCGTCGATGTCTGCAAATGTTTGTCGTTAGAACATCTCTCTTCAAAATCTCAGCAACAAAAAGCCAGTTATACTTTTTGTGGAAACATGTCGAATATCGGCGGCAGTGACAAAAGCCTGGCCAGCTTCAACGGGCCAAAAAATTCTGCAAATTATTACTCAAACACTAGTAAAGTTTTACCAGAATTTGTGAAAATGTTGGCATGTCAGAAATCAATTTTAATGAACGAATCCAATTCCTGTCTGAACGCATGCAAGGTACCCTGCAAAGAAGTTTATTACGATTACCGCAGCCTCTATGCCGATTGGCCCGACGTCACTCAGCACCTGTCCGTCTACAGAAGCTACGTAAGAAACACTACTTCGAGAATGGTCAACGCGAGTCTCTTCGAAGCATACGACGAATTGGACAGCCAGGTTGTAAAAGGAAGCATGGATGAGAAACACGCCATCGACAAGTTGAAGCAACTGGACTTGATCAAAAATAACTTTCTGCAGATAAACATCGTCTTCGAATCCGACAAGCCATACATCGTGAAGGACGAGGCGACGATGACCTCGATCACCATGCTGTCCTCGGTTGGGGGCAGTCTGAGTTTATGGCTGGGCATAACGATTATGACGCTGGCTGAAGTGGCCGAGTTCATTTTTAATTTGATCGTTTTGTCTGTCGGCAGGAAAAAAGAGATTCAACCGAAAAGAGCTGCAACGGTAATTAAAAGCATGCCGCCTGATGACAAATTTTGAAACATGAGATGTTCGTTCGGTGGATGTGAGCAGATTTGCTACCGCCTGTCAAACGAGTGATCGATATTTTTATAGTTTCATCAATTAATTAATCAACACATTCACTACATTTCTTTGCCAATGTTGATGCACCGAAGTTTTAGTTAATTACATTTTGAATAATTTTCAAACCGTTTTAACGTTTTTTTGCATACACTTTTTCTTATATTATATGAATAAATTTTCTGTGCGTGTTAGACTGTAAGATGATGATTAGAACGAACAAACGTTACGTTTAGTTCCTGAACTCAACGCCGAATTTACTTTGAAAAAAAACATAACACACACACACACACACACACACACACACACACACACACACACACACACACACACACGTATCATACTAAACCAACCAAGACATACACATTACAAAATCAACATTTTTATTAAAGCAATAAGTAGACAGCTAATAATAACCAACACAAAATGTTATTTTCAAACCTGCAAAGACGTATATTTCGATAGCAATTGATATACCATCACCATTCCTTTAGTGGTAAACTTTACACTGTGTTATTCAATATTACATACACTGAACGTTTGGTGGATAACAAAGGCGTTATATTAGGAATAGAGTAAGCATAGATTTATATTTAGAAAAAAGACAATGTATACATAAATATTAATATCTGTAACAATTGACTAGTCGAAATGAAATGCTCTATAGCTCTTGTTTTTATCCAAAGGCTTGCAGACAATATTAACAAACATTAGGCGTGATGAATCTTATCGGCAGTTTAATAGTGGGCGAAATTTCGCCACTGTACCACTAACACTCTACCTTTTAACGAATTAGCATCTATTGACTATGAAATGTTCCAACTGCATGCCTCATAAACTTCTAATGACATCCCAAATTAACTGATGAACTTCACGTTCACTCGGAAGCCTCTGCAGCGATCAATGCGACTGATTAGTTCCGTAATTGGGGAAGGCATATATATTTGAGAGTTCGACGTATGCGTGGTGTAGTTTTTACAACCTCAATCACCTGTTGCTTACCGCTTAAGAGTATAATTTTTTCGTTATTAAAATAATTACAGGCGAAATGTTTTCTAAATAAACTTAGTGCCGTTGAAAAATGGTTAATAAAAATAAAATAGTGGAAGAGGTGAAACTGTTTTGCGAGACAGTAACGATTAGAGGGATCTCAAGGATTGTGAAGTCCAAACAAAATTTTGTAGCGTTTACATGGTCTCTCGTCGTAATGGTGTGTTCGGGTGTGTTGGCATGGCAGCTCCAGTCGTTGATCGTTAATTATTTCAACTACCCCTTCATGACGACAATCACGGAGCAGAGCGAAGAACCAGTCTTTCCCACGGTGACTGTTTGCAACTTGAACCCAATTCTGATGGCGAAACCAGAGTACACGGATATTCTTTCCTGGTCCCAACATTTGAAGAACGTGATGGAGGCCACAATAAAAACCGATTACGACACTTTGATGAAAAATGTCTCGGAGTTATCGAAGCACGATGCCGAAGACTTGATAAAAGATCTCGAATCTCCCGGTGGATATTTTTCTAATTTTCCTTTACGTAATTTACTAGACGACTCGGATAGTGATACCAATTTAATAATGAACTACAGTTTCAATGGCTGGGACTGGATGAGGTACGAACCAAACGTAACTCTAAGAAGCCAGTGGGACTCGAACTATTACAAATGCTACGAGATTGATGTGAGGAAAGAAGAGAAAGGCAGCGTGAGATCGATGAGTTTGATTCTATACATCAACAACTTCCCTAGCGTTGTCATGCCTGGCCTTTATCAATTTGGAGGCCTGACATCAAAAGCTACAGGCGTGCGAATAAAAGCTCACTACCCGGGCACAAGGGGTGACATGAAGAATGGATTGAGTCTCAGTCCTGGGACAGAGAGCACTTTTTACATTCAGATGATCAACCGAACAAGACTGCATTCTCCATATAACAAAGAAGACTGTACTGATCAAAATAATTTCAGCCCCGATGAGACCGGCCACTTGTACAGCAGGGAGGACTGCATCGAGTACTGCTTGCAACAGCAGGTCGTCGATCAGTGCAATTGTGTTTCTATAGATCACTTATTTTTGAAAGCGCAACTGGAAAAAGTTTACTACAAGTCTTGTGGAAATATGTCAAACATTGGCGGTGATTACAATGGTCCCCAAAACGCGTCTTTATATTACGGAAACGGAAATAAACTGTTGCCTGATATCGTCAAATTACTGACTTGCCAGAAAAAAGCGTTACAGATCAAATCATCGCCGTGTTTGAAGAAGTGTTCAGCTCCTTGCTCCGAAATACGTTATGATTATCAAGGATTGTACGCCAGCTGGCCCGACGTCACTCAACATCTGTCCGTTTATAAAAGTTACGTGAAGAATGGAATGTATAAAACTATTCACCCGGATCTTTTCAAAAGTTACGAGGACCTGGCCAACCAGAAAAGTAACGGCACGATGAACGACACCGAGATTATCAAAAAATTAAATGAATTAACCCTGATAAAGAAGAATTTTCTTCAGGTAAATATCGTTTTTGAATCTAACAAACCCCTTCTTATCGAAGATAAAGAGATGATAACACCAGAGACGATGTTATCATCGATAGGAGGAAGTCTCAGTCTCTGGCTTGGAATAACAATCATGACACTGGCCGAACTGGTCGAGTTCATCTTCAACCTGATATTTGTCGCTTTCCACGAAAAAACTGAAAAGAAAATCCAGCCAAATCAAAGATAGCCACCTAAAAACATAAAAATGTGGCCGCGTCGAAAACTGGAAGTGAAATCAAAATTGAACGTTTTGTAACGAATGAATACGTTGAAAGTCTCGTTATAAATGTATCTCCATTTGTGATTGCATGTGCGTTTTAATTATTATAACTCATTTCAGTTCAGACATTGGATTGTTTAATTTTTTTTGTGTTAAAAAACTTGAAAACTTGAAAGATAAATCAACAATTTTGAGAAATGTGGCATTCAATCAAGAGTTACCACAAATTTTCGTATCTTCTAGCACATAATCTTCAGGCCTGTGATTGAAATAAAAAAAATTATACTATTAACAAATAAATAAAAAATAAATAAATAAAATATTTATAATTAATCAACAGACAAACCAAAAAACAAATTAAAATCTTTAATATTTAAAAAGAATAATTAAAAATAAACTAAATAATGTTAACCAATCAAAGAGTTTTGGGAATGATCTCCTCTCTTCTTCTGAAAAATCTTTCAACTTCTTAGGAACTTGCATAATTTGAGGTATTTGGCCGGTTATATTTTTCAAAATTTCATCTGGAATATTCTGAAAAAATAGAGAAATATATACTAAAATAACAACATCAATGAATTTATTTACTTAAAATTAAAAAAATATGATTTCAAACCAGAAAATCAATTTTAAAATGAAAAAGAATAAGACTATAACGTTAATACATCACAATAAAATTATTAATTTATTATTTTATTCAAAAACTAAATGATTATTCAAAATAAAAATTGGTTTATAAAATAAAAATTGGAGTTAAAAGAAAAATAAATGAAGACCTCATCTTTGTATAAGTACAATTTCTCCATCATAGGCCTTCTTAGTAGAGTCCCTTTAATATTGCTGTATATTATTTTTCTTATTAACTGAAATAAATAAAAATTATTGGTAATACCTTTTATAATGTATGTGTGTGTGTGAAATGATTAAAATAAAATACCTTTGTAGGGTCTTCATTGTGGACTTTGTAAGCCCTTGTTGCCGAAAAACCGCCAGGGTACCTGAAAAATAAAAAATTGTACTACAACCTCCCCACACACACACACACACTCACACACACAAACACACACACACACATGTACCATTTCTTTCTCTCATTTTTACACACAGAGAAAGAGACAGACACACAAACACTAAAATACACACATACACCCACAAACATACAAACCCAGTATGATGAAATAACTTAAATGTTCGCCAGAGTTCACCCTCCATTGCCATGTGTTGAGTATTAATTACTACAACATGGTCCCCGATGTCACCTGTTGAATGTTTCAAAAATAATTAATAATAAAACAATTGTTTATTTTATTATAAAATATAGAAAAAATAATATTTTCACAATAATAATTACATTTCAACACATATTAAAATTTCACATTAATATTTTAATTTAAATACAAAATAATACAAACAATAAAATACAATTTTATTCAGAATACATTACTACTCATAATCACTATGGTTAAAAAGATACAATAATTACAATACAATACGTTCTGTAGCAATGTAGCATAAGAAATAAAAATAATAGTATAGTTATAATAATTTAAAAAATTGTACGACCTGCTAAGTTATATAATCATAATAGTATTATATTAGTATATTATATAACTTTAGTTTAGTTAGAATTAGATTACATTACGATTACACACATACACAGTTTACATTTTACTGATTACTTCTTACTTAAAGGGTGATATATAGGTTTGTGTTTGCCTTCTAGATGTCGCACGATGACCTTGGCCGACTTGAAGGGGCACTGCCATTTTAAATCATACAGCCACCAGAGGCGAGAAAAAGTGCACCATTGCTTGGTTGATGTTTTTTTTAAAGTTACTTTATTTGTAATTATTAATTTAATCAT